ATTCTATTCTATTCTATTCTATTCTATTCTATTCTATTCTATTCTATTCTATTCTATTGTAGACTCTTGATATTTGGATCGGGTTAAGATAAATTTGCCTAATATGCAGAAAAAATAATCACAAAATGAAAGATTGCATTGAGAAATGCACTGGAAGAGTGGCGAAAAGGGTATTAACTGCATGTTCTGAAACTTGCAAAAAAGTCCTCCTGGATTTGTTTTAAGATGTACAAAGCGATATGTGAATATCTCACCAGCCATCATTTGGAAGGTACAATCGAATGCAGGGTTTAGCAGATTTAACAATCCACTCAGATTGTTTGTGTTTTAGGTGCCCCCTGACCTGCAAAATGAAGTGTTGATGAGCCTTTTGGARACTGATCCGGATGTGGTCGATTATCTCCTCAGGAGAAAAGCATCACAGTGAGTTGAACGCTCTACGGTTTGAGAGGTTTTTTTTCTTTTGAATCTCTCATTTTAAATTGTCATTTTATGCCAGGAGTCCTGACATTTTGCAGTCAGAGGAGGCCTTCAACCTGAGTGAGCGGCATTCATCAAGTGACTCCAACAAGGCGTCCAGTGGTGAGGTTTCCCCCTATGACAACAACTCCCCAGTCTTGAGTGAGCGAAGAGGCGAACCGGGGAGCCTGGCCACCGATCAACAGCAGTACTCTGTTGTGGGGCAGGTGGCTGGACATGACAGTTGGGGTTCTAAAGGTCAGCATGAGAGTACAAGGGATTCCCACTGATAAAAATCTAAATCCCTTTTTATGTCATAAAATAAACACATACAAAATGTTCTTCTTCTTCTCCTAGACGAGCCTGTTAACATTTGGGGGACATGGCACAGCACACTCAAACCAGCTCTCAAGAACCAATCATACACAGGTAATCTGTTTTATATGAGTTACTGAATTTGTATTAATTTACAATAACTTGTAGACAAGAGGTTCCTAAATTATCTCAATCTGCCTTGACTGCTCAATTAAAAAGAGTCTTGAGAGAATCTTCAGAAATAATAATAATTAATTCAATAATTCCCTTCTCACCCTCCGCGGGTGGTCTCTTTCATCCTCTGAGCTCGGGTCCTCTACCAGAGGCCTGGGAGCTTGAGGGTTCTGCGCAGTATCTTAGCTGTGCCTAGAACTATATATAGACTGAGATTTCTGATATTGTTCCTGGGATCTGTTTTAGCCACTGCTCCAGTTTGGGGGTGACTGCCCCGAGG